CAGTCAGCACTTACAGTTCCGGGACAGCTGTCGTTGGGACGCGCGCAAAGTTGTTATTTTAAGATGTATTTACCTGTTTCCTCAAATCTCAAAATTAATAGAAATTTTGCACATTATCTGTTTGATGGTCACAGATAACGTGTGTAAATTGTCAGACGTCTAGGTCGCTGCGAAAAGGGTGTCAGATGCCCTCAAAGTTTTCATTTTATAGCATTTTCTTCGGTGTCCTGTCAAAATATATTTTTGCAGGTATTTGACAAATATATTTGAAGAAAATGCCATAAAATAAAAACTTCGAGGGCGTCTGACACCCTTTTCGCAGCGACCTAGACGTCTGACGATTTACATACGTTATCTGTGACCTTCAAACAGATAATGTGCAATTTTTCTATAAATTTTGAGCTTTGAGAAAACAGTTTAGATGCTTCTTAAAATTACAACTTTGCCCGCGTCCCAGGGCCAGCTGTCCCGGAACTGTGAGTGCTGACTGTACACTAGCCTTCCAACACTAAAGTACGGCCTATTTTGAAAATATCAGCCTTGAGAAAACTCTTGCATGTTTTTGACGCCAGCTCCCCAACTAGTAGTGTTCAGCAGAACAATCGCAAACCGTTTACCAACGTTTGTATCTGGTGAACGCGGCCATTGTTGAGTTGATAAAACAGGTCGATTTACACAATACAACATAATAGGAAAAGCGTACCAGTTTTATGATTGGCCAAGTGTACATGATGATAGTTGTTAGGCAACTTGACGTCATAAAAGTAGAATTCTAGTAGAATTCTACTTGTCGTGATCTTAGCCCTGGAACGTGAAACCCAACCCAAAAGTAGAGAGTGGAGCGCAGAATTCATGTACGGTACAGTGCGACACGCGACTCGTAATCCAAATTGTACTAGATTTATGAGAGAGGTAAGGTTCGTTTCACCAGGGTTCATACTTGACATTTATGTAATGATGCCTATTATGAATTTGTGGTGAATCACAGAAGCAACTACGCACAAGGTTCGCTTTTAGTGGGTTTTTTTCTTTTATTTGCCCCAATAGTTCAATAAATTGTGTCATTAGGCTATATCTATATTTATTTTCTACTCAACTATTATAGATCCATAATACCTAGGAAACGAAATACGTTAATATACCTATAACAACCTGAAGTTGAGATTCAGAATGCCCGCTTTTGCGGGCGTTATGATCTATAACGCCCACTTATAATACCTCGAAATGTTTTTGTTGTTGTTGTTTTATTAATTTGCACTTTACCCTAGACAGCCATTGAATGTCCGACCGAAAATAATTTTCGGTCTGGGGCCTCATTCTGTAAAGAACGAACCGTTCGATTCGGTAGAACTTCTTCGATTGTGACGTCATTTTCGGTTTGCTAGCGAGGAAGCTATTCCGAAAATGCCGAAAATGACGACACAATCGAAGCCCCTGGCCAGGGGCCTTATTCTGTAAAGAACGAACCGTTCGATTCGGTAGAATTTCTTCGATTGTGACGTCATTTTTGGTTTGGTTTTCGCGCTACCAAACCGAAAATGACGTCACAATCGAAAAAATTCTACCGAATCGAACGGTTCGTTCCTTATAGAATAAGGCCCCAGGATTCGAACCTGGTCTACCATCAACGTTTTCCATGTAGTCGAGCGCGTTAACCCACACGACCACCATTGCCTTGCCTTATGAGATGTTTATAGACATACTAGCTGACCCGGCGAACTTCGTAACGCCTATGAATTATTAAATACCTATTAAATGTTGTGTTAACGTATCTAGTAGATGAATTTAATTCAGTTTTTTTCGATGGTGAATTTGGCCTTGGTTGAAGAAAACTAATGTCTCTCTGGATCAGAAATCACCTAAAATTAAAATTTTACATCATTTGGCTTTCGGAGCACTTTCGCAGAGATCTGTGCCGTCACCGCCCAAATAGAGAGCGCTCTGGGAGCAGTAAAGCCGAAAATGCTATAAGATAATACTGTTACGTCGGTTGAATGGAATAAACAAAAATAAGTTGAGTTATGTAGTGGTGAGAAGCAAGAAAAAATTTAAAAAATTTGGGGTGGACCACCCTTATCACTTAGGGGTATCAAAAATAGCTTAAAACCTAAAATCAGACCTACCAAATATACATATAAAATTTCATAAAAATCGGTGAAGCCGTTTCGGAGGACGAAGGTAACTAAAACTGTGACATGAGAATTTTATATATAAGATTAATTTATTTCGTTTCTAGGTACAGGTACATGTCAAAATACAAAACAATATTCTGTCACATAAATTTTACTGATTTTGTTTGATACTAAATTGATAAAAGAACATTGTGTTGAGTAGAAAATAAGGCATTGTATGCGCCACGGGGATTTTAGATTATAATGCCCTTCAGGCGAAATATATCCCTCGGGCCAGAGGCCCTCGGGCTAGTTTCGCCTTCGAGCATTATAATCTACATAATCCCCTTGGTACATAAATAGCTATAAGATACGTTCAAATTTCAATAGCCAGTCATCAAGCGTGTGTCATCACATTGAACTCATAAATCAAATTCATAAAAATATTGAAAGCAAGGATAAGGTAATTAAATTGGTGACTAAATGACTGATTTCATTTAAAAAGATATTATTTAAGGCCGACACGAGTTCGGCATCCTTTGATTTGTTTGTCCTCACATTCTTATAACAAATCTGTTGACCCCGATAATCCAGGAAATTATGATATGGGTATTCCGTTTCAAAAAAATAACTATATTTCTTAGAAAAGAAGAACGGTCAATGCTTGTCAAGGGTCAATAAATGGACATGACCCGAAATTTTTGGGGGGAACGAAAAATATAAGAACAGCGGTTTTAGAAGTTTACGATCAGGCGGATCAGTCTTCAGATCAGTTCAGTTTAGAGTCTTGAGTCTACAGTAATCAAGCAGTCGCGATCAATTAGTTGAGATTAATGGAGTCAGTCCGGATAAAATTCGCGAAGAGATTCTTTTATTTTGTTGCCTCGGGTAAACACGCTAAATTAAATCTTTTGAAAGTAACGGCATAGGCGCCGGAACCATGAAGGCAATGGGGGCTTGAGCCCCCATAGTGAATTTTCTCTGGGAGCGGAGCACTCTTTGTGATTTAGGTATTGTATGTAGTGGGTACGTAGAAAAATATTGAGTTCCTAACTATTTATTTTTATATCAAATTTATGTGTTTTATGTTTTCGTTGTTTTTGCTATACTTACATTAACAAACAGTTTGAATATTTTGTTGTGTAGTATTAAAACCTGTATTTTCAATAAGTCGTTGGATTATTATTTCCTGTCCGTTTATTTTCATGATAGGTATGTTTACATCACATGAATATATCATGATGTACGAATACACTTGCTTTTTTTATCTAGTTTATCATGGAAAAAATTTCAAAAATTCGCTGAGGGCGAACCGATGGTCTTATGAGCTGAAACTTGGTACGAATCTATTGGAGTACGAGTTTTATCGAAAAAAATACGAGGCGCCCCTATTTGGAAAGCAAAACCCCCTGGGCGCCCCTAAATATTTTCTTTGGCCGATTGGGATGAAATTCGGAATATAGGTGAAAGGGGTCCAGAAAAGTAGATATTTCAAGTTTCAGCCCTCTCCGATCTGCCGGAGGGATTTTAGCCCCTATCCCCCAATTTTGGAAAAGGGCGTGTAATGGTGCATACACGCCCTGCATTTACTTTTCCGAATTTTGAAAAATAAAAAATACCACCGAATAGAGGAGCCAAGAATACGTCGAAAATGTCTCTAGGTGTCTCTGATATAATAAGAACAATTATTAGCCGTATTGTAAAGTTCTAAGAAGCTCCTTTTCAAATCAACAAAGAGAAGTGAATTTTATTACGCTCTTTGGCCCTCCCTTTAAAAGATTTAATTCTCGTTCCCAATTGCGGAATCGGCATTCGAAATACCGCAAGGAAAAGCGGAATGGGCCTTTTAATCCTTTTGTTAGACGTTACCATGGCACGATGCAAATCTACGACAATTAATTTTTGCCTAAATATATTTGCTAAACATGAAAATTCCACTTTAATAAGTGTCGGGCACGCGATAAGTCGGCCCCCCAAGCCAAACCGGCCGAGAAAATTAAAGGAGGATTTTTGGGGCGAAAAATAAAACACCGGCTGATTTGGGATGGGACTTTTGCAATTATGAAAATTGCTTTTGGAGCGAATTTAATTTGTACAACAAGTCATAAACATTTGTAGAAAACCGCCAAACGCAATAAAAATTGCCCCAGTTCATCTTTGTGAAATCATAAATCAGGAAAAATCCAACGACCAAACAATATATAACCTGTTTTTGACAAATAATAAGCAGACGAAAAAGTTTGTGAACTTCATCAAGTTTGAAAGCTATCGCACTCTCTCTCTAGATTGTCCCGGCTGGGCTATTATGTGTTTTTTATTACAGGTTTTTTTATTAAATACATTTTTAGGCCAAAGAGCCCGTACACTATAAGCCGGTGACATAAGAACTTTTCCCTAAGGCCCTAAATCCTCTTAAAGCATTATTGGAAAGAAAAGAGGTGTGTTTATTCCTGCAAACAGTCAGTTCCGAAGGGTTTTAGGGTTGAGAACTAGTATCCGGATTTAAACGAGTAAATCAACATCTGGAGCGTATTTATAAGCTAAACATTCGATGTAGTTTGTCTGACAACTTTATCTTATTTGGTTAGGATTTGAGCAAAATTGGTAATCGACGTAATGAATGGTAGGTGGCTGTGTTTATGCTAGAATTTGTCCAATAAGTAGGTAATTTGTGAGCTACAAAATTATACGATTCAGAAAAAAATTCGCTTGTAGGATTGGTACAAAGCTCTAGTCTAGATACCTATTTACATCGATTTTGACAATAATTATGGCATAACTATCGAATCCAATAATCAATTTTCGACAAAATTTATTACCAATCTATAGCCGGAGATAAATACTTCTCTAATTATTTATTGCTCATAAATAATTGACGTAATTGAATTGAAAAAAGTTTTAAAATAAAGTAGCTATTTACAATAATACAGTATCGAGGTGTTCATCAAAGCCCCCCAAATATGAAGCAATTACTACTGATTTTATTATCTATTTTATTTATTCAAGAAATTAAAGCCAAAAGTTATGAGGGGTGAGTAGGTAATTTACACTTAAATCAATACATAATTTTAATTTTCAAATAAACTTCCAGATACAAAGTTTACAAATTAAAACCTGAAAATATTAACCATGATAAAATTATTGAATACCTTCAGGAAGATTCAATTTTTTATTTTTTGGATGAGGGACAAATTGAAAGTGGAAAACCTATTGATGTCATGATCGAACAACAATATCAAAACTATTTTGAAAACATGTTGGAGAAAAATAAATTTAAATTTGACGTCCTTGTTGATAATGTAGAAAAGTAAGTCAACAAATAATAATCTTTTAAAGGGCTTTTCATAAAGATGATTATTTGTAGGGTATTAGAACAAGAAAGATTGGACCAACGTTTAACAAGAACTTCTGGTTTAGGACAAGTTACATTTAACAGTTACATGTATTATAGCGAAGTAAGTTTGTATGATATTATCGCAGGGCAATAATTTTTCAATTTCCGACCATTTTTAGCAAATGGCGTATTTGCACAGATTGGGCAGAGACTATCCAGAAATAGTCGCCATCCTTAAACTCGGTGAATCCTATGAAGGCCGTGATATTACAGCATTAAGGTTTGACAAAAAAAAAATTATTTAAAATTTTTAAAAATTAAAATCGTAGATTGTCCAGTGGTCCCAGCACAGACCCTTCAAAAACCAAACCTGTAATATTTATAGATGCAGGTATTCATTGTAGAGAATGGATCGCGCCAGCTGTAGCTCTATACATTATTCAACAATTGGTTGAAAACCCTCAAAATGCGCTTTTTTATCAAAATGTTGATTGGGATATCGTGCCTAATTTGAATCCTGACGGATATGAATACACACAAAGAGAAGTAATAATTGAAATCTTCTTCCACTACACACAGATTATATTTTTGATTATCCACATAAGTGCATCTACTAAAGCAAATATTTTCTAGGATCGTCTATGGAGAAAAACCAGACGACCAAACCCTAACCAACCTAATTATTGCATGGGTACTGACTTAAACAGAAACTTCGATCACTATTGGATGTACGCTGGAGCCTCTTCTAACCCTTGCAGTGAGATTTATGCAGGCCCAGAGGCTTTCTCCGAATCCGAAAGCAGAGCAATCAGAGATTATTTTCTGGCCAATGGAGAAACCATAAAACTATACTTGTCCTTCCACAGCTACGTTTCTATGGTGCTCTATCCTTGGGGGTACGCCTCAACTTTACCCGAAGACCACGAGGAGTTGCAACGTTTAGGAGAGTTAGCTGCAGATGCTATTCATCGATCGACAACTATTAACTCGAGATATACTGTAAATACTTCAACTCTTGCCCTAGGGCCTGGTGCTGGTGGCAGCGATGATTGGGTCAAAGGAGTTGCTAACGTGTCTTTAGCGTATTGCTTTGAATTACCCCATGGGGACAGTCCGTTTCCTTTCTTGTTTCCGGCCAGACAACTTTTTGCAGCTGTGAGGGAAACATTCGAAGCTATCAAAGTTTATCATCAGTATATTGAAAATAAATTTTGGAATAATAACAATCAATAAAATGTTTCATACTTTTGTTAGTATAGATTTTAAATAAGAAAATGAACTCGCATTGCTGTTTTTTTTTTAGCCGTACATGCTAAAATAAAGACCTAATAATAATAATTCCATCTGTGGCGGAAAATATGAAAATTGTTCAGTGGACTGTATGATTCGAGAGAAAATGGATTTTTTTTTAAACCCGGTACCTTAAAGGTTTCTGCTGGTTTTCTGGGTACTGGTCCAAACTGAAGCGTGTTGAGTATAGCAGAGTACTCTGTAGCTTCTTAGGGCAGTAAAATAGGGGCAGTTTTGTTGTAGCGACCGAACCGTCCGATACGACACGAATTTGTAAGGGTCGCGTATCGAGAGTATGTTGTCTACTCTGCGGTCGAGAATATATTATTTTTTCTACAACTGTCAAAAAAATGATGATGTTCGCACACTCATGACAGTTTGCGAAGTGACACTTTTTTATCCCAGGTATTTCCCAGGGTAACGGTCCCATGACACCGTGCGCGAACAACTTCGTACACTGGTGTCATGGCGACACACACCTGTCAGGAAACCTAAAATCATTAAAATTCACCTACCTTTGATTGAAAATGCAATTTTGGCTTCGAATGATCGATATTTGAATGGAGTTGTGGAAAAAATATTGTTTGCAACTCGGGCGCGAAATACTTTGGTGATCTCGACTATTTTTTTAACTCGGCTGCGCCTCGTTAAAAAGTAGCATTTCGCGCACTAGATACAAAAATAACTATTTAAAATCTCGAACAAGGCAGCATAAAAATACAGCTGCTTCTAGCAAGTGACGTGTGCGCATATGATGAACGAAAAAAGTCGCTAATAAAAAATATATGTACAATCGAACTTTGTAGGTCTATAAACCTAGCAGTCCCAAGGTGAAAAAAAACTTCGAGAACTATATAGTAATTAGGTGCTTTTTAGGTGCTAATTAGAGCCTCTAATTAAAAATTAGGTGCTCCTTTAGTTTTTGAGAAAATCAAAAAAAACTAAGGGACTGCTAGGTTTATAAAAGCTAGCAGTCTCCTATAGTAAAAAATATTTTTTCAAATTTTTACTTTCTAACAGAATTAGGTGCTTTTTAGGTGCTCCTAAATAGTCCAAGAAAAAATAGAATTGATTAATTATTAACTGAGTTACAGATTTTTTTTCAATTATTAGGGGACTGCTGGCTTTACGTTTACTTGTTGGTGTGTCAGAATGGCAAAAAAACTTCGGGAACTATATAATAATTAGGAGCTTTTCAGGTGCTAATTGGCTCCTCTAATTAAAAATTAGGTGCTCCTCTAGTTTTTGAGAAAATCCAAAAAAACTAAGGGACTGCTAGGTTTATGAAAGCTAGTAGTCCCCTATAGTGAAAAATATTTTTCCAAAATTTTCTTTTGTATCAGAATTAGGTGCTTATTAGGTGCTCCTAAATAATCGAAGAAAAAATAGAATTGATTAATTATTAACCGAGTTACAGATTTTTTTTTAATTATTAGGGGACTGCTGGCTTTACGTCTACATGTTGGTGTGTCAGAATGGCAAAAAAACTTCGGGATCTATATAATAATTAGGTGCTTTTTAGGTGCTAATTAAGGCCTCTAATTAAAAAAATTAAAAAAAAAAATTTACTATAGGGGACTGTTACCATTCATAAATCTAGCAGTCCCTTAGTTTTTCATGATTTTCTCAAAAACTAAAGGAGCACCTGATCCCTAATTAGCACCTAAAAAGCACCTAATTATTATATAGATCCCGAAGTTTTTTTGCCATTCTGACACACCAACATGTAGACGTAAAGCCAGCAGTCCCCTAATAATTTTAAAAAAATCTCTAACTCGGTTAATAATTAATCAATTCTATTTTTTCTTCGACTATTTAGGAGCACCTAATAAACACCTAATTCTGATACAAAAGAAAATTTTGGAAAAATATTTTTTACTATAGGGGACTACTAGCTTTCATAAACCTAGCAATCCCTAAGTTTTTTTTTGATTTTCTCAAAAACTAGAGGAGCACCTAATTTTTAATTAGAGGCCCTAATTAGCACTTAAAAAGCATCTTTTTATCATATAGATTCCGAAGTTTTTTTGCCATTCTGACACACCAACATGTAGACGTAAAGCCAGCAGTCCCCTAATAATTAAAAAAAAATCTGTAACTCAGTAAATAATTAATCAATTCTATTTTTTCTTCGACTATTTAGGAGCACCTAATGAGCACCTAATTCTGATACAAAAGAAAATTTTCGAAAAATATTTTTTACTATAGGGGACTACTAGCTTTCATAAACCTAGCAATTCCTAAGTTTTTTTTTGATTTTCTCAAAAACTAGAGGAGCACCTAATTTTTAATTAGAGGCCCTAATTAGCACCTAAAAAGCATCTAATTATTATATAGATTCCGAAGTTTTTTTGCCATTCTGACAGCAGTCCCATAATAGTTTTAAAAAAAAATCTGTAACTCAGTTAATAATTAATCAATTCTATTTTTTCTTGGACTATTTAGGAGCACCTAAAAAGCACCTAATTCTGATACTAAGAAAAAATTTGAAAAAATATTTTTTGCCATAGGGGACTGCTAGCTTTTATAAACCTAGCAGTCCCTTAGTTTTTTTTGATTTTCTCAAAAACTAAAGGAGCACCTAATTTTTAATTAGAGGCCCTAATTAGCACCTAAAAAGCACCTAATTATTATATAGTTCCCGAAGTTTTTTTCCACCTTGGGACTGCTAGGTTTATAGACCTGAACTTTGTAGATTGCTCTACACAAACTAAAATAGGCAAAAAGCCCTTTTGAGAGTTTCCTAAACAGCATCATTGAATTGATCCACAACCATCTCCAAGTTTTCAGTGTCTCTTATTGTCTTCCTGATGTTCGGCAGACTGTGCTCCAGGTCAGCTTTGTATGCGTCCCAGTCATTCAACATACAACGCATTACTTACCTTATTTAGATGCGACTTAACAGTTTCCGAAAGGAAAAATCCTTATGCCTATACTAGAGTAAAGCGGGGATCATTTCATAAATGCTCATGCTCACAACAAAAATACTTCTCTTATGATTTCAAGTTTTGTTGAGTATAAATAAATCCGAATTGCCCATAAAACTAAATAAATTTCTACTTTGATACCGTTGGTAATTGCAAGACGATCGACAGAGTTGTTAAGTGTCATAACGATGCAAGTTATTAAAAGTTAGAGCCCTACCGAAGTAATAGTCCGAAGTTCAATTAAGTTTTAGATGGTGAAACAGACGTGTACGCTCATCAATCATCCCTTGCCAAGGTTAATAAAAAAAAAGCTCCACTAGAACAAAATGGAGTAGCGGATAATAATAAAAAATTAAAGAGATCCTCATTTCATATGCCCAACGTAGTCTCTGTTCGCTAATTGTTCAAATGAATAAATAACGAGGCCTCTAATTTTCAATCCTATATTTTTATCCACGATTTCGGGTAGGTACTGGAAATGCGTAGTCGTGCCTTCTTTAATTATTCATGCTTTAAACCCTTTTTTATAAATACATTTTCTGGATGTAGAGATACTCCCCTGGATATTTTTTAATTGCTGAAGCATATTTTAAATTAGCAATTAAATACGATGCCAATTAGAGATGAGGCGCTTTTTTTTTTTAAATATCCTAGTGAAGTTCCGTACTTGACCCTTTTCATCTCGAAAATCGTCGAGTATGACGAGGAGGATGGTTCTCGGCGTCGCGAACACGCTCTCCGATTTGCGAATCTTGCGATTCCGAACACAATGAGGCTGTTAATTAGATTTTGCTAATTTATCTCTCGGAGTTTCGCGTCATCTGTCAGTTTCTATTATGCGCCCTCGCTGCTGAATGACGGCCTTGTTATACTTTGTATCTGTTATACGAGATTTGCCCTTCTGGAGCCATATTGTATTTTGTGCCTAGGTTATATGGTATAGAGAGAGATTCGGGCCATTTGGGAAGTTGTTTAAAATTTGAAGACTTGAAATTGAGCCCAAAATCAACTCTATTGTTGTTTATGATGGATATATTCAAGTTCAGTGATAGCAATTTTAAAAAAAGCTTAGAGTAAACTAAAACTGCATGTAAAACTACCTATTTTGTCTCATAATCTGATGCTCGATCTCATATTTTTTTGGGAATGCATAATGCGTCAGCTCTTTCCAGTTGAAATGGACCATTACCTACTAGAGAGTGAGTCTTTTCTTTAGTTCGCATGTCTGGTTATCTATCTATCATTTGAATTTCAGCTCCGTCAATCTTCAAGTCACAGCTGGGAACAAATATCTTAAATTGATAAATATGTAGGTAAAAATATTAACTTTTCATCTCGTAGAAAAAATAGTGTTTCTAACTCTTGCGGAAAGTCTCTTTTCCGCAATTGATTGCTTGCCGCACTCCGCTGCGCGTCGTTCGGCAAACTGAAATCGCGTGCGGAAAAGTGGTACTTTCCGCACTAATTAGGAAATATACTATTTTATCATTATTTTGATAACGTATTGCCTCTATTATTTTTCGAAAATTTGTTGGTTAGATTTTTGAGTTTCATTTCGGGGATGCGCATATTGACCTTTGGTTTTCCGTCTCCACTATAATCCTAAGGGTGGCGCCCGAGTTTTCCGAAAACCCCTTAACCGTCCGAAAAACCAAAGTAGCGCTACCAGTATATTTCCTCTTGTGTTTTCTTGAACCATAGTAAGGTTTCGTCTATTTCAATTTCGTTAAAATAGACATATGATGTATCGTCTATGTCTTGATCTATGAAAAATGGCAAATCTAAATTAGTGCAGTCATTTTTATCCGCACAATTTCTGATATGATAGTATCGAGAACGTCATTTAAAGCTGCATTTACAAATTTACATATGATTCTACGTTTATGGACCAAATTTCTGAGGTTACAGCAGATTGGTCATTCTGAACAATTTCGCAAGGCTGATTTCCTATATTTGGCATATGAATTTCATAGGCAGGTGATTGTTCGGGAACGCTAGAGAGTAGCTAGCTTGTTTCAGGTCTGTTATATAAGTTTCATTACGGAACACCTAATTATTGTTATTATTATTCTTATAACAACAGGAAAGGGTTAGGACATGAATTCTAGG